GCCATTTCATAGACTTCTTTGGATCTCTGTAGTAGCTAATCCAGAGGAACCCAGTGGCCCTTGATGGCAGTTTCTGTGACAAGAGATCACCTTCTTTGTTCTCTACATATTGCTAGCCTACCCCACTAATATAAGGGCTCTATTTCGTTTTATTCCAAGTATTCTGTTCTGTTTGCTATTTTCACCCCTTTCTTAAATTGGAGCACCATTCTCTGGGAAAGCAGGCCTCTGGCCACAGCTTGAGTCAGATTTTTTTTTTTTGCATGTGTATGTACATAAATATTTATAGTTAAAATTACATGTATTTTAATTCAGTGTTTCCCAGAAATTGATCTGTGGAAAATTAGCCCCGAAGAATATTCAATTATAAAAGAGTTTACATGTAAGTGAGAGCAGAGCAGGGATTCCTAATCAAAATTAGGAAATGACACTGGTGTGTTTTCCTTTGGGGTATTACCACAGTGTTATTCCCTACAAAGAAACAGTTTGCCTTTCCTTAACCCTTGCTTCCCAACCTTCCTCAATACTGAGCTCACTTGCCCATATTACATATATTAAAATGTAGCATGCTGTAGGAAATGGAGCCCGTTGGTAAACAGGCTGTGTTTAAAATGAAGTATGTGGTTACCACTGAGATGCTGCTATACTGATCCATCTACTAACATGCCTAGATCCTCTTCTAGTTGCTAGCACTCTTTGGAAACTCTAGGTTTTCCTGTAATTTGTGAAGAGAGCAAAACTATTATTTTGAATAGACGATTGGCTCTTTAAAGTTTTGGGGTTTGTTTTATTTTTAGAGTACAAGTCTAGTTTGTTTATTTCTTTTCCATTAGTTAAATCCCCAGGGAGCACAGTATCATATGAACTTGTGTCCAGCAGCTTTGTCAGGAAGGCTGTTTCCGTGTTTAGCAGGACTGTATCTTTGTTTCCACATTACTCTGGTTTTTCTTGAATGGCACCAGGCTTTTCTGCTGTTTTGGTCTGGTATGCTCAAGCACACCTCATTCCCAAGGAGAGCTCAGCTCTGTTTCAAACATAAACAGCATCAGCTCTAGGAATAGTTGTCTGCCTCCTTTCCCTTTGGAAATGCACTCATAGCCAGCAGGACATAGAAGCCACATTCCCAGCATACCTCCAGAGACTCTGGGACACCATCCATATACAGCCAACTTTTTATTATCTATCGTAATAAAAAAGTAATGGCCATGGAGGTAATAAAGCCTCATAGTAATCTGAAGCTTGCTTTAATAATTCATTTCAGTCTTTTATCTTGAAAATCTTTTGGCAAGTTTGCAAGCATACTGATTAAAATTGGGTAAAATCTATCAATGACTGCTTCTACAAGACTGTTTATTTCTCTTACCTGTAAATGGAGTGCAGGAAGTGAACAACTCAGGCTGATTTGCCAGCTTGACTCCTCACTCCTCTGAGAGATCTAAACTCTGCTCTTGAAGACTATATGTTCACACATTTGACCTCAAGGTCGGGACTGGAGCTCTGTCCATCTCATTCCCATGTCATACTATGAGGAAGGGACAAAGGCACAGTACTCTCCCGTAAGGACTCTTTCTAGAAATTTCCTGCCTTTTGAGATTACTTCATACTATCCAGAACTCAGTCATATGGCATACTTTGTAGCAGGAGAAGCTAAGAAATGTGTTCTGAGTAGTCATGAGAGCAGGCAAAATTCAGAAGAAAAGTAAAAACTTCAGTGGATGCATTTCTGCCTCTACTTTCTACCCAGTAGGTCCTAGGAAGAGGAACAAGTGTGTAGAAAGAGAACACATGTAATACCTCGAGTACTCTACATTCATCCGTAGCTTCTGCTGCTGTACTGTCCAGGCTGATAGCTGATGGCCAGTTGGAAATACACTAGTTTCGATTTTTGTGTGATGCAAATGTAAGATACATGCCAAAATTTGAAGGCTTAGTATCAAAAAATGTAAAACATTGCAATATCTTAATGTTGATAACATGTTGAAATGGTAGTGTTATGACTAGAGAAAATGTATTGTTGAAATTAATTTTGTTTCTTTTTGCTATTTAAAGAGTGATTAAAAACAGTCTATGTACTCTTTGCATTATTTGGTATTTCTTGAAGTAATTTAAAATTGCCTGGAACCGGCTTGCATTTCCTTAGGTTTCCTGTTAATTGTTTGCCTCTAGTCAAGTTAGCTGTCTTCGTTCTGGTAGTTCCTTGGAGACATCAGTCATATTTTTTTAAAATTAGATAATGAAAGCCAGGTATGGTGATACATGCCTATAATCCCAGCACTTGAGAGACTGAGATAAGATGATGGGGAGTTCAAAGCCAGCCTGGGGTAGACAATGAGCCCCTCTATCTCAATAAATAACTAAATAAAAAAAGGTGTGGCTAAACACTTCTCAATTATTTCTGTAATTTAGAATAAGCTATAATTATTAAGAAAATAATAGGTTGCTTTCAATTTAGCAAAAATGGGCAGTTAGATTCGTTTTTCAGCTTTAAATTTTGTTGTCCTTGTTTGGTTCATGATGCTGTGAAAAACTTAGAACTAGGACTGTTGAAGGAATTTCACGTTTGTGGTGTGCTGGCAGAGACTCATTCTGCATGTGAGTGAGTTTCCCAAAGGCAGAATCAGTACTATCATAATCGTGGCTGTCAGAAAGATCGGTTGCTCCTTTTAGAGATACTGATTGGATGTACTAATTCCCAGCTGTGTGTTATGCAGGTGAGCTCACTTGTAGAGGTGGTTCTGTTCCCCCGACCTGTTTGTTGTGGACTTTGCATGAGTCCACCGGATCCACTTGCTTTGTTATCCCAGAACTTAGAAGTCACCTGCTGTGTCAAGCTTTAGTTCCTACTCAGAAATAGCCCCAGATCTAGTCAGTGTCTTCCTCATTGAGGACCCTGTAGTCTCACCTGAACATTCTCAGTCCACTCAGGTACCTTTCCTCCTCCATTCCCACCTACCACAGGCCATCCATCCTCCAAACAAAGGCCAGAAAGGGATTTGCTTGAGTGTCACTTATAGCCATTCTGTTACTTGAAATACTCCTTTTCTTCCTCAGTGTGTGAAATAAAAATTGAGCTCCTTCATAGCTAAATCCCCAGGCCCTGCTTAGCTCTGTTTCATAGCCTGTCATCTCTCCCACTGTTCTCAGCTGCACCAATCTCATTGCTGTTCCTTGAATGCACCTACCCATACCTGGAGACCCATCCCCACCCTCACACCCTCAACTGCTGACTCTGAGGGTTCCTACATCCATCTGCTTTGTTATTTCACACTTGTTACCACTGAACTGTTTTCCCTCATTTATTTCTCTCTGTGTCTTCCTAAAACTGTAAGCAAAATGTCTTGGGGATGAGGGTAGTTACTCTTGTTCCTAGCATCTGGGGTGGTCTGTTAGATAGTGATTGCATATACATTTCTTTAAAATGAATAAAGAAATGAACAAAAAGAAAAAAGTCATTTGTTTCCTTCTGACTTCTGGTAGTAACTTTGATTGATACCTGATTGTAATGAAATCACATGACCTCCTAAAGAGAACCTCCTTAAAGAAACATTAGAGTATAGAAATTACAAGGGTAGGAATGTTGAACCCTTGGATAGTAGATGCTTATTCTTTATTATGAGTTACTCCTGGAGACTTCTAGCCCCTGACAGTGATTAGCATATTATAGTCTGAAGTTCTTTTCTATTGCATGTTCAGTCTATAAATCCTTACTTAACCCCAAAATGTTATCCTAATTAGTACTTTCAGCATTTCCACGCAGTTTAGAGACTACTAAAGTGTGCACTTTTGTCAGGGAGAGATGAAGTACCTATGTACATTAATCATGTATAGAGTAGAAGAAACTGGGCCCTGTCAACAGAAAGCTGTGGCAATGTTAAAATTGTAGGCACAAAGAATACCAATATTCCTCGGATTGGTCATGAGAGACTGAGAACTGCTTTGGAATTTAATTCATTAATATTCTATCTAGTTCTGGTAAATGGATTTTTAAGTGATTATTTTTGCTTTGTGTATGTGAGTGTACATGTGTCTGTGAAGATGTGTATGCACATGCATGTGTAGATCAGAGGCCATTGTTAACCAGAGGTTAATGTGGGCATCTTACTCAATAGCACTCCACTTTATTTTTGAGACTCAGTCTCTCACTGAACCTAGAGCTCACCTATTTGGCTAAATTATCTGGATGCCAAGCCCAGGTATCCCCTGTTTCTTCTTTCTCCAGTGTTGTGATTATAGGTGTATACTACCACACCTAGGTTTTGCATGGGTGCTAGAGATCACAGTCAAGTCCTCATGTTCACATGACAAGCACTTTATCAAATGAGCCATCTGCCCAGCTCATTACTCATGCTTTTTGATGCACTGGAAGATGTGGGATGAGTAAACAAATGGGGATTAACAAGGACATGGGTGTGTTTACTTGAAAACAACAATAAGAGATGATTAAGAATGTTCTAAACAGCTGGGCAGTGGTGGCACATGTCTCTAATCTCAGGACTTTTGAGGCAGAGGCAGGCAAATCTCTGTGAGTTCAAGGTCAGCCTGATCTACAGAGTAAGTTCCAGGACAGTCAAGGCTACACAAAGAAACTCTGTCTTGAAAAACCAGAAGAAAAGAAAAATGTTGTAAGCTGTTTGTATTCCTGCATATGATGTGTAAAAGATTGGAATTGTGTGACTTCCAGATTGAAGATTATGATGTGATAGCCAGCATGATAGGAGCCAAGTGTAAAAACCTCCGGACCCTGGATCTGTGGAGATGCAAGAATATTACAGAGAATGGGATAGCAGAGTTGGCTTCTGGGTGTGTGCTTCTTGAGGAACTGGACCTCGGCTGGTGCCCCACCCTTCAGAGCAGCACTGGGTGCTTCGCCAGACTGGCACGCCAGCTCCCAAACTTGCAGAAACTCTTTCTTACAGCTAACAGGTCTGTGTGTGACACAGACATAGAAGAACTGGCATCTAATTGTACCAGACTACAGCAACTGGACATATTAGGTAAGGGTACATAGAATATATAAATATTTTTAAGTTTGCATACAAGATGATGGGTTTTGTTCTGGAATTTTCATACCTATACACTAATTTACTTTATTCTTACTCATTTCCCTCTCGCCAAAACCCTTCATTATACCATAGTCCCCTTCCTGGTCCTTATCTTCCCCCAGGGAGTACCTACTTTTGCCTTCATAGCAAATGTATTCCACTACTCTTGTTTTCCTTCCTGTCTCTCTTAAAATCTCTTATTCTCCTCTCGCAGTCTCCTTTCTACTGTCATAAGAATTCCTACTTAAACATAGACAAGTATGTATGAATGTAAATCTAGTGTACACATATGAGAGAGAACCTGGGGTACTTATCTATTATTTTGCTTGACATAATTATCTTCAAAGGCTTTCATTTCATGCAAATGTCATGATTTCATTTTTCTTCATATTACGTATATTTACCATTATTTCTTCATTCCTTTGTCCACTGATGGACATCTAGGCTGGTTGGAGTCACTGCTGTGAACAGTGCAGCAATAAACATAGCTGTGAAGGTATTTCTCTGTGGTATGTTGACTTGAGTCCTTCAGATATATACATAGGAATAGTGTAGTTGGATCATATGTTAGTTCTGTTTTTAGCTTTTTGCGGAACCTCAGCACTGACTTTCAGAGTGGCTGTACCAGTTACATTCTCACCCACAGACTATAAGGACTACTCTTTCCCCACATCTTCATTAACAGTTACTATCATGTGTTGTCATTTGTTTGCTTGATATTAGCCATTCTTTAGGAGTTGGGGATGGGGATGGATAGACTCTCAAAGAAGTTCCCTCTGCATTTCCATGATGGTTAAAGATGTTGAGTACTTTTTTCAGGTATATAGTAGATAATTGTATTTCTTCTTTTGAGACTGGCTGCTCATTTCATTAGCAGACTGACTGATTAGATGGCTTCCCCTTTTGGTGTTCTTTGGGTGTTTCTTTATATAGGTTCCAATCTCCTTTCCAGTGTACCATGGACAAGGATTTTGTTCCCATTCTGTAAGCCGTCTCTTAGTGATTATTTCCTCTGTTGTGCTGAAGTTTTTAAATTTCATGTAATCCTGTCAATCTTGGAATAATTTTCTGTGTTTGAAATCTTTTTCAGAAAGTCCTTGCCTATCCCTGTATATTGGAGGGTTTTCTCTGTATTTTCCCCTAGCACTTTCAGAGGTCTTTCATTAAAGTCTTTGAGCCATTCTGAATTAATTTTTGCAGAGGATAAGAGATAGGGATCTAGTTTCATTCTTCTAGAAGTGTGGAGCTAGATTTCCTAGAACTATTTATTGAAGGGTGTTCTTTCTAATGTATGCTTTTGACATCTGTGGCTAAAAATATGTGGATTTATTTAATAAGTATTCTACCACATTGGTCATTGTCCTCGATTGCTTTCTATTGCTGTCATAAATACTACAACCAGAAGCAACTTGGGAGGAAAGGGTGTATTTCATCTTACAGCTCTTAGTTCACAGTCCATTGCTGAGGGAAGTCAGGATAGGAATTCAAGCAGGAACATGGAGGCCCACACTGGAGCAGAGACTATTGAGTCACGATGCTTACTTGCCCTTTCCTTGTGGTTTTCTTATAAAACCCAAGACCACCTTCCCAGAAAGTGGCACTGCCCACAGTGGGCTGGGCCCTTCCACATCAGTTATCTTTTAATACAGAAAGTGCCCCTAGAGACTTTCCTACCAGTCAGTCAGATGGAGGCAGTCCCTTGGTTGACATTTCTGCCTTCCAGATATGTCTAGGTTTGTGTCACATTGCCAACAACAACAGTCTGGGTATCTGTTTTTGTAGTAGTGCCAGGCCACTTGGTTACTGTGGTTCTTAGTATACAGTTTACCATTAGGTATTAGGATACCCAAAACATTGTTCTTCTCCTTGGGATTGTTTTTTGGTCTTTTTTTGTAGAGACCCACAGAGGTTTCCTCATGAGTACTTACTCGGAGTCGAGAATCTGAGCTTGCTTTACCCAGCAGGACGTGGTTACCATGTGTTTGGAAGGATCTACACTTGGCTGTGTGGTGTGCTTTGATCTAGCAAGGGGGAGATCTTTGTTGTAAAAAGTCCTTTTGAAAAGGCAGAAGGGGCTGTTGCATTTTGATCCAGTTCCTCCCGAAGCTATCCTGTGTTTCTATCTTTCTCCTCTATCTTCCTATCTAAAAGTTTCTTATCCCTCTCTCATCCTCATAGGACTCTTTTCAAAGGTAGGACCTGGCCTCCTACATTTTTTAAATTCTATATGAACTTCAAGATACTTTTTTCTATTTCTTTCAAGAATGTGATTGGGATTTGGATGGGAATTGCATTGCATTGTATAGCCATTTTTGCAATATTGAAGGCTTATGATTTCCTTATATGACTATGTAACTTGCTACTTTCTGGAATGTGTTTGTCAGACATATCTAGGAGAATTTTTGTGGAATCATTGGGTCTTTTAAGTCTAAGACACTGTCTTCTGTAAATAAGGGTACTTTGATGTCTTTCCTATTTGTATTCCTTTGGTTTCTTATCTTAGCTCTACTGAGACTTCAAATGTTGTATTGAATAAGAGTAGTGAGAATGAATACCATTACCTCATTTATGTTGTTGAGTTTTTCCTCGTTTACTGTATTTTGGCCTTAGGTTTATTATATGTAGCCTTTATTATGTTGACATATTTCTCTGTTTCTATTTTCTTTAAGACTCTGATCATGAAGGGATGTTGAACTTTATCAAAGATTTATTTTATGTTTATTGTGGGGATCATGTTATTTCTTTCCTTTGGTCTTTTGTCTTTTATATTTGCTGATTGTTATATTTTGGACTATCCTTGAATCCCTGAGATAAAACCAACTAAGTATGGTGTATGATCTTTTACATATACCTTTAAATGTAATTTGAAAGTATACATATAAATGTATATGTAAGGAGGGTTTGTTTTGGAGTTGCACACCCTTGCATGTGGAGACCAGAGGCCATTGTTGAATAATTTCCTCAATCACTTCTCCATCTTACCTTTTGAGATAGGATGTCTAAACCCAGAGATCATTGATTTGGCTAAACTGGCTGGCCAGTGAGCTCTAGGGATCTATCTGCACCCCAAGCTCAACTGCTATCACTATCAGTAACCACAATCCACTCCCTTCCCTGGTGTTGGAGTGACAGATGGGTACTGTTATGCCTGCTTTTTGTGGTTAGGAGAGGTCCAAATTTAGATCTTCATGCTTGTGTGGAAATCTCTTTACCAACTGATCCATCTCATTAGCCCCATGATTTGGAGGTATCTTATTGGCAATTGTTGCATCTATGTTCATCAGGAAGAAAAAATGGTTCTGTAGTGTTTTTGTTGTTGTGGGCTTATCCAGTTTTAATAGCAGGGTAATAGTGGCTCTATATAGTGAATCTGGTAGCTTTCCTTTCTTTTCCATGCTGTAGAATGATTGGAGGAGTGTTCATCTTTAGCTCTTCCCTCAGGGTTTGGTAGAATTTGGTGTAAATCCATCTGGTCTTTGGCCTGCCTTTCTGGAAAGACTTTTTTCTTATTAATGTTTCAGTCTTCTTGTTATGGATTTAAGTTGCTTATGTGTTCTTGATTTAATTTTGGTATATCATGCATGTCTAGGAATTTGTCAGTTTCTTCTAGATCTTCCTTTTCTTATACATTTTCTAAGCATTCTCTGGTGTTCCTGGTTTTCACTGGAATCTATTTTAACCTCTCTTTCTGTCTTTGACTCTATGTACTGTTATTTTAGTTTCCATTAATTTCTATCTTGATCGCTACTATTTATTGCTACCTTGTTCTTTTAAGTGTAGCATATTCTTGTTCTTTTAACAAGGCATTGAAGTATCAATAGGTCATTTTTTTTAATGTTAAAAAAGGGGGATATTTAAACTTTCCTCTTAGAATTGCTTGAGCTGTTTTCCAAGGTTCTGGAATGTTGTGCTTTAATTCTTGTTTGGTTATAGGAATTAAAAAAAAAATATTCCTTGAGTTCTTTGGTGACTCTGGTCATCACTCACAATCCCCAAGAATTTCTTTACTTTCTCTTGCTTTTGACTTTAGTTTTATTCCACTGTGATGAGGTGGGAAATTATTTTCAAGTCATGGGTATTAATTAACACTTGCTTTGTGGCCTAGAATGTGTCTTCCTCTAGATGGTTCCATGGACTAATGAGAAGACTGTGTATTCCATTGTTTCTGGTTGGAAGAGTCTGTAGACATTTGCTAAATCTAATTGATCTGCTAGATAGTTTAACTCTAAAATTTCTTTGTTGATTTTTAATTTGGCCTAACTAAAGATGAGAGAGGGATATTGAAGTCATACAATATTATTTTATGGGTACCTACCATATTTTTTATGCCCATTAGTGCTTATTTTATGAAATCATGAATTCTAACATTTGGTGCAAATATTTTTGCATATATATTTTATTGATATGATATATTTTTGTAGTTATTATTATGCAGTGGCCTTTATCTACTCTGGCTAGTTTTGATTTAAAGTCTACTTTATTAGATATCAGAAGTTATACCAGCTTGATCTTGGCTTTTGTTTGCTTGATGGATTGACTTCTGTCCTTTGACTCTCAGTCTGTGGATATCTTTACCAGTGAGGTGTGTTTCTTGAACACAACAGTTAGTTAGATCTAGTGTTTTAGTCTAGTCAGCCAGTAGTCTGTGTCTCTTCATTGGTGAGATAAGACTAGTTACCTTTAAGGTTATTAGTAGAAGGTGTTTACTAATTCCTGTCATTTGATTGGTTGTCTTCTGGTTGATTGGGTTATTATCTGTTCTTTTCTTTCTCCTCTATTAGTATTAGGGGATTTTTATTGTTATTGGACTTGATGAATTCCTTCCATAAATTTGTTATAAAGCCCGCCTCTTTGACCTAAAACTTAATTGTTGACCTTTTGCAAGGAAGCCAAATCAACTTACAGTAAACATTTGTCCTGATAAGACTGCTTGGTAGAAAGTGTAAGGTGGATGGATACTTTAGCCTAGAGACAGAGACAGAAATAGAGAGAGAATATTATGGTGAATAGAGCAACATAATCTTATAGTTGAACTTTCCAAAAGCTTTACATGCTCTAAATAATTAGCAAGTTTGGGTCCAATCAGAAGTGTAAGATTTACATGAGTTATATTCTCCATTTTTACTAAAGACAGAAAATGAATCCATTTGTAAAATGAATTCAGGTTAGATTTTTTTTTTTTTCTTTTTGGTTTTTCGAGACAGGGTTTCTCTGTGTAGCTTTGCGCCTTTCCTGGAACTCACTTGGTAGCCCAGGCTGGCCTCGAACTCACAGAGATCCGCCTGGCTCTGCCTCCCGAGTGCTGGGATTAAAGGCGTGCGCCACCACCGCCCGGCTCAGGTTAGATTTTTAAAGTTTTTAATGTTAAACTCTCGATTTTAAAAAGGGTCTGAAACCTCTGCCCCTGGCAATTCTAGTTTTTAGGAATTGTCCTACCACGAGATAGATCTGTTGATAATTCTTCAGAATCCTGGAATTCCATGTGTCTTCACTGCATTCATTGGCAGGGAACCCATGCCAGCGGTGTCAGCAGTTTCACCATTACTGGCCACACATCATCACAGATTATATGTTTATGATCCATTCATAGATGATGCTTATATTGTTGCATATGACTGATTCCAAGTATTAAGCAGGGAGTCATACATAATTTGCACACTTTGGACAAAATGCTTCATTTGTGTTGTTATATGTTATCTGATCTAAACAGCTACAGGAGTTGTGTCATTGTCTTCCATAGCTGAAGCCCAGCATTTAACTAAGACATAGAACAAAGGCTCGGGCTGGGATGTTGGTTCTGTACTCAGTACTCTGTGCTTCAGTGCAGGAGGCTCATGCCCACTCATTTTCTTGTTCCCTTTCCTTCTGACCTAGCTTCCTGGGACTGTCTGTCTGTCTGTCTGTCTGTTTCTCTCTCTTTCTCTTTCAAAAGCCAAAGAACAAAACAAAAAATCCCCACAAAAACAAAAATCAAAACAAATAAGCAAAATACCAATAAAACAAACAAACAAAAAAAAAAATGAAACAAAAAGTCCACAAAAACAACATGGAGTCTGTTTTGTGTTGACCAACTGCTCCTGGGCATGGGGCCTGCTCTGGACTGTGGTTGATATACCCAGTGGACACTGCATTAGAGAAAACTGTTTTCCCTTTGCCAGTAGGTATCAATTATAAATAACTTCATGGTTAAGGGTGGGGAGCTGGACTCCATCTGGCTTGAACCTGTGAAGGTCTTTTGTGTGCTGCCACAGTCTTTCCCTTTCCTGTCCTACATGCTCCTCCCACCCCTGCCCCTGCACTGCCCTAGACCTGTATGTATCCACAAAGACTTCAGTATGCTTCCCTCCTGGTTATGCTTGTTCTTGTCTCATAAAAGCCATCTCTGCTTCTCCGTGCACACAACCAAACATCACAATGCCAGCCCAGCTTTCTGTGTCCTTGGGAATTGGTATTTATGGACAGTAAAACTTTGCTGAATCCCAGTTCAGGATGAATCTGTGCAGGTTTAGCTTGGGACCAAGTACAAACAGGTGGCAGGAAATACCTTATAATTACAGCTTGGGAGCCCATGCGAGTAAGGAGTGTGGAAAGGAGTTACATGGAATGAGGTTTATGTTATCCTGGCCTGGATTGTAGATTAGTATAGAGCACTTGCTTAGTGTACACAAGGCTCTGGGTTTGATCACCAGCATTACAGAAAACAGACAAACAAACAAATAAATAACCCAGATCCTAATACCTCTGTCAGTAAATGTGTATATGTATTATGATAGTGATTGTTTCTCCCAGAAAAGCTGTAATTAAAACAGGGTGTGTTTTAGAAGAGCATCTCTTAGACTCATGTAATATTTGATATTTATTAAGTACCTATCATGTATTAGATGCTTTTCATAATTTATTAAATTTAGCTTCCAACTGGATATACTATAATCACTTCAAATTTAACACAGGCAGAAATCAGTTGTCATCCTTCATCTGTCTTCCAGCCCCCCACTCTAAGACAGTGAGTTTTATAGTGTTGTTTATTGTAGGTCTTGGTCAGTAGCTCCCTAAGGCTGATGTGGCACACTCATCTTTTCATTCCCAGGCCTAAAATAGATGCTCAAGGCTGTCAGGATAGTTGCTTAACTGTAATTGGAGGGTGAATTTTCAGCTTTGCTGCCTAATGGGCAGCATATGGGTAGCCCGTGGGTTAAGAAAGGTGAGGTAGGAATAACCCTTGCACTGGTGACGATGGAGGGAGGTGAGGGACAATCAGAAGGGGTTAAAGTAGGAATGGACGTGGCAGATGGTAGAGAATTGACAAGGTTCAGCTTCTCATTGCCAAATTGTCGGAGAATATTCAGTTTTTCTTTTAAGCAAAACCATTTAATATAAAGCATTTTGTTTTAAAAATGCTTTGCTTTAAAAGTTTACTTTACATAAGCTTAAAACTAAAAATAAAGGCACTTTTTATTAGCGCATTTTTATAGGTGCTTTGTTTTCTTAAACAGGAACAAGAATGGTAAGTCCAGCATCCTTGAGAAAACTCCTGGAATCTTGCAAAGATCTTTCCCTCCTTGATGTATCCTTTTGTTCCCAGATTGATAACAGGGCTGTGTTAGAACTCAATGCCAGCTTTCCAAAAGTCTTCATAAAACAGAGCTTTACTCAGTGACTTCACACCTGTTCTGTCATTAAGATCAACATGCTTTGCTGGGGTTTGATTTGAGAGATGGCTTTGGTTTTGTTTTGCTTAATTTTTATAATATTGAGAATTAAGACCTTTATAGAATTTAAAGGATATGTACAATTACCCATTAAATCAAGTGAAAAAAAGAATGTTCTTTAAAATATTGCAGGCACTTTTCTTTAGGAATGTGTGAATTGCTGATGTTATTTCCCATTATGTTGGTTAGTGATATGCTTTAATCAATAATTGTATGTTAAAGGAATAATATGGAAATGCTCTAATTTATTTTAAAGGAATACTTTGGACAATAAAATAATCATAATATTTATGAAAAATAAAGTTGATTTTGCACATCTCCTCTTGTAAAGAATCTTTATTAAGCTTTTTTACCTGGCAAGTATTTTGTTTGCTGTATACAAAATTGGGAGAGCCAGTTGAAAGTAGAGGCACCAAGAATATAGCTCAGAGTCACAGTGCTCACCTAGCACCAAAGCACCAAAAAAGTAAGTGAAAAAATTCAATTGGAGAGACTTGGTTTTTTCCAGGACTATTGCTTTTAGATATAATTGGGTTTTTGTTGTTGTTGTTTGGCTGTTTATTTTGAGACAAGGCTTGCTGTTTAACCCAGGCTAGCCTCAAATCCAATATCATCAGGTTTCTTCAGCTCCCAAATGAGATTTTTTTAAAGCTGATATATTAATTGTTCCGCTGGAAAATTAGTGCTTTTCCCATTTCTCTGCATCTTTCTTTGACTGCTAGATATATAAAAACACAGGTATATCCAAATACAAGTGGTAAACTGCTAACTGAAGTCATTCCCCAGCTGCCGAGCAGATGAGATGCCCTACAGACTTAGCTTGGAGGCTTAAGGCTGCTCAGTTACATGTATAACAGCATATATGTGACTTCACTTAAGGCTGCTCAGTTACATGTATGACAGCATATATGTGACTTCACTTAAGGCTGCTCAGTTACATGTATGACAGCATATATGTCACTTCACTTAAGGCTGCTCAGTTACATGTATGACAGCATATATGTGACTTCACTTAAGGCTGCTCAGTTACATGTATGACAGCATATATGTGACTTCACTTAAGGCTGCTCAGTTACATGTATGACAGCATATATGTGACTTCACTTAAGGCTGCTCAGTTACATGTATGACAGCATATATGTCACTTCACTTAAGGCTGCTCGGTTACATGTATAACAGCATATATGTGGATTTCACTTAAGGCTGCTCAGTTACATGTATGACATTATATATGTGGATTTCACTTAAGGCTGCTCAGTTACATGTATAACAGCATATAAATGGACTTTACTTAAGGCTGCTCAGTTACATGTATAACAACGTGTGTGGATTTCATTTATACTTTTTCTATGATTCAAAACTTTGTAATTAGAATTAGTAGTAGCTGTTATTCAGGGTCAGGAGGAGAGGGAAAATTTGTTACATAATGAATTGGTTGAATTTTCCTCTTTAGAAAGTAGACAAAAATGCTTCATGGCATTCAGAGGTGGGGACCTATTAACTCTGGAGTATAACAGAGTTTTCTACTCAAGGCAAAAATGTGATATGCCAACATCCATGTGTCCTGCAGTAATCCTGTAGGTCTGTGCTGTCTGATGATCTGTTTAACTGTATTTCAATTTAGGATGGGTGTCTCTTAGTTTGCACTGTCTGCATCTCAGTTGCTCATTAGGTGAATGTGACCAGCTAGTAGCTACCATGTTGGACATGTGGGTGTAGAACATTCTCATCATTGCAGAAAGCTTTTGGATAGCAATAACCGAAATTTTCTCATAGTATAATTCATTTAAAACTCTCGCTAGTACATATTATAAGGGCTCTTTTTCCTTCAAAGGTGTTAAGTTAGTAAATTTATACATAAGTAAATGGCAGGCATTCAGCATATATTTATTTAACGAGTAATGTACGTATTTTGAGTTGTCATATTTTAAAAGTGTGAATATCATGCATTATTATTACTGTGTTTATTCTTGTTTAGACTATAAAGAATGTAATATGAAATTTAAAGTAGTAAGAGATCTCTCCACACTCTCTACACTGAAAAGAGGGGTCTGAGAATCACCATCTTGATGAGACTGCAGTGTGCCTTGCCTGGTCCCCTATTTGATGGAAACAAGAATGGTGGGAAGTCTTGCTTAGCTCCCATCTTCATGCACTGAGGCTTTATTTTTGTCTCTGAATGGACATAAACATTTCTGATGTTTTACCCAATGAGTAGGAAATGTAGAATTGATTACAAGCTTCTGTCTTGAGCTAGCAGTTTACCTTCCCTGAATATTTACTTACTTTGTGCCAAGCACTGTTACCAGGTTTGTGTTTGCTGACTCACGTCACTCTTTCACTAACCTGTAAATTGCTGCCATCACTTACCCGTGTCTACAGATGAGGAAATCATTGCAGAAAAGGCTTGATGAGTGCTGGTGATTAGCAGCTGACAAAGGCAGCATGGAAACCCAGGGCATTTAACCTGTGCTTTGAAAGTGTTCAGTGTGGCTTCTGTTCTAGAGCAGAGGCCAGAAAACCTGTTGCAGGGCTACATAGTGACTATGGGTCTTTGGTAGCTAAGAGGCAAAATTGAAAACCTTTTTGCCACATTACTCTACTAATGAGAAGAATTAAATACATTATGGGAAGATTTCACTTAATTGTGTCCTAGCATCAAAATTAATTACAGGAACTAAGGATGGTAGTTAGTGGTAAAGAGCTTGCCTAGCGGTGTGAGTTCCAATATTCAATCCCCAGCACACATACAAACCCCTTATGTGTTTATCTGCTGACACTGGTCTAAAATAAGAATTTGCATGTATATGTATCTATTCAGATATATAGATACATAGATATATAGAAGTGTGTATATATATAATATCTAGAGAGAGAGAGAGAAAGAGAGGGAGAGAGAAATTTTACAGATATATATTGCCAAATATTTACACAGGTAAGTGAAAAATGGTTTTTATGAAACATATTCATCACCTGGAAGGCACTGATGGAATTTTTGGTTATTTTTTTTCTCTTGATATGTTTCTTTTAGCATGTGATAGATTAATCACTTCCAATTGAAGGTTGGATAGAAGCCCCTCTATCACATACTTGAATGGATTTGGAAATTGCCTTTGCATTTGTATCAAGGCTCCTAACATGTTGCTCAAACTAGTTTGAACTACAGCTTTATGTGAGAGTACAGGTCTTGTCTACCTGTTGATAGTACATGAAGTTATGAGGAAAACTAGATGTTTAAATGTGTTTCATATATATTTGCCCTAGAGTTTTTGGTCGAATTTATTACAAAACACTATCAGGTCTGCAGCAA